CTCTCTCTCTCTCTCTCTCTAAACGTGCATCTTTCTCCCGTGTTGTCTCTTGCAGCGCTGACAAAAGCCATAGGCCAGTCCGCTGATTCTATAACATTATCTGACTGTCACATGATCTGCTGACGAAGTCTTTATGTTGTTACAGATGAGAGTTCACGGGATTGAAGATCATTTACATCTCTTAGTTAAGTTTTAGTAGAGGTTTTACGGCGCTCGTAACTGCATAAGGTCATAACATATTATGAGCGCCAGAAGATTAGAGGTGTTACAAGAAGGTAACAAACTTAAAAAAAAAAAAGAAGATAGAAAAGAAGAAGCAAACCACACCAGAGCACCCACCAACCACCTTCATTTAAATATCTGTGATAAAAATGGTGAAGTTGTGTAGGTATAACGCCCCTATCAACACTTATTAGGCTGTGTAAGAGGCATGACCTTCGAGTTTAACGTCCCCATCTTCCATTAAAGGACCGAGCCGCGTGGGAAATGGCGGATGGTTGTTTGTTTGTTTTAGCAGATGTTTTACAGCGCTCGCAACTGCATAAGGTCATATGAGCGCCAGAAGATTAGATGTGTTACAAGAGAGTAACAAACATAAAAAAAAGGAGGGGAAATATGTACGATAAACGTTTGATAGGAAAGAAGAAGCGGACCACACCAGTGCACCCGCCAACCACCCACATTTACATCTCTGTGATGAAACTTGTGAAATGGTGTAGGTTTAACGCCTCTATCAACACTTATTAGGCTGTTTAAGAGGCAGAACCTCCGAGTTTAACGTCCATCTGCAATTGAAGGGCCCGGCCGCGGGGAAAATTGCAGATGGTTGGAGGGCGCCACTAGTAGGTCTTACTAATTCTTTACTTTCCCTTATGTCGGTCTGTCTATCTTACTTTTTCCATGCACTCTCTGACCATTATTGTCTCGATGTGCTTCTATTGACTCAAACAAACACAAATTCGTGTAAAGTGCCTTTCCTGGGGATACAACGTGCCTGCAATCTCACGATTATGGGTGATCTCTGTGGGTTGAAGAGGAAGAGTGCGATGATGCCTACGTGCGCGCACAGGATTTTTGCACACTCTTTTCTAACGCACGCGCACCCTGCGTTACAAAATGTGGCATATTATCTCTAAAACTGCTCAGAACGTTTGACAATTTTAAAACTCGGCGTGTTCAGCATTGAATTCAGCATTGAATTTGTTAGAAGAATGTGCCTTCAATATCCAAAACTAGCTGGGTACACGTTCGATGAACGTGCATACTTATAATAATCGTCGATCATCTAGTCATTGTGGAAAAAGTGCGCACAGCTTGTGAACGGAAACCTCACTTGTTTACAATGGCGTCTTAGAAGACGGACTTTCCCAAAAGTAGATCTAAACGAAACTAATGAAAAACTCAAAATTAAACTACAGTGACTTCAGGCTCCTCAATGGAACTGTGCACCCTTTAAATGATTCTGAACTACCTTTAATTTTGTCAAATTCGAAAGTTAAGTGGTTCGTAAGTTTTAGGCGGCAATCAAAAAGTGACTAACTTTCACAAATATATGTATAATGTATAGATTTCCGACAATTAGGACCTTTTTTCAGGCACACACACACACATTAATGATCTCGCTAAGCATTTTAAATGGGAAATAACTGTGTATTGTATTGGACACATGTGTTAATGGGAAATAACTGTGTGTTGTATGGGCACATCTGTAAATGGGAAATAAC